TTCCAAAAATCGAAATTAATTTTTTTTACATTTCTTCACGTTTTGAAGGTTTCTGAACATTTTGGCATACCTCAGAAAAAATGGATGTGTGTGTGTATGTATGTATGGATATAATTTTTCGTCCATGTTTTCGGGCGCACGTATCAACCGATTTGAATAATTCAAATAACATTCGGTTCCTATTGATAAAGAGATGTGATGATTAGTATGTGGTTAATGTGTATGATTAGTAGATGCTTAATACTCACAAAAACTTCCATTTTTTGCACATTTATCTCGGTATCTCCAAAAACGCCCGAAAACGTGAACGAAAAAATTCGGATACACAAAACACACACATCCATTTTTTCTGAGTTATGCCAAAATGTTCAGAAACCTTCAAAACGTGAAGATATGCAAAAATTTTCATTTTCGATTTTCGGGCCATTACTATAACTACCCTTACTATTGAAATTGCTAAACTTATATTCAAATAAACTTATATAATTTAATCGAACAAACTTATATAATTTTTCAAGAGACTTATAATTTTTGTTTTTCCTATAATTACTTTTACAGTTCATCACATATTGAGGCTAAACTCGGTCACTAACCATTTTATTTCTTATGTCCGTTAGATTATCCTTAACTTTTTATTTCTGATTGATACTATGAACAAATTGGCATGTAAATTACACACTCGTGTCGTTATAAGCAAAAAGTATTAGTACGTGCCGTCTTGACACATATCCCGTTTTATTTGCTAAAAGACATCTCTCGTCTCATTTGTCAGCTCTTCTTATAACTCATGAATATCATATCAAGGAGTTTATTTTATTGCCTTTGAGAAGCTTCTAAGAATTTTGATTATTTGAATAATCTAAAAGTGGCTAAAATGGATACGCAGAAATCTGTAATATTATACATATAAACATTGATATAACCAACGCCTTCTATGGAATTGAATTTCAATATTGTTTTTGTAACAATGTATAAGCTTTATTGGTCGCAGTTATTATGACAGTATGGTAAATATTAGTGAAAGTTTTAGTACAATGTAACAGTTATCTGTGTCATTTGCATATGAATGGGTGTTCCCAGTAATACTCGATAGAAAAATATATTAAATGTAATGTTTTGAATTCGTAATATGTCCTGTTCGATCGTATCATGTGAGAAACATTCATTGAATAGAGCCAAACAAAGTTCAATAGATTTTTGGTGCTTTCTCTATTTTCACTATATTTTTCCAAATATTTTATTACCTATTTCATCCAATTTTAAGACATTTTTATTGACCTGATCATTTGAATTTAGGCTGTGTTTATACTAATGATTTTATTAATTTGAATATTCAATTTTCAAAGCACAGCAGTTCAAAAATTACCCAAAAGAAAAAAACTAAATCAAGCTATTAATTCCTCATAAATAGTAATTTATCTACTAGTTTGTCAACTTGTATTTGCACACGTGGTCTTTTTATGAAAATAATTCCAGAAACGGCATAAATTATTTAATAAAGCGTGCTCACATAAACTGTTATACAATAACTGAAACCTGTTTTGCGTTATAAACTACATTTATTCCTGCATGTAGAGTATGTGGGACAACGTATTTATGTATATTTGATCATTCCTGTTCATTGGTTTTGTTCACTATAAATTAATTATAAAGGTTAGTGGATAATTAATATACATATTTTGAGTTTTTAATTCGTTAATTAAAATTTGAAGCTTTATGAGACTGTCTATACAACTTTCTATAAAGGCTATCACAAAATATTGGAACACATTGACTCGTATAATTAAGATTTTATTTACTGTAAGTACTTATTTAATTTAAATTTATTTCAAAAATTATGACAATATTATTTAATATTTCTATCTTTGAACTAAATGACACACGATTACCTACTCCAAAAATTCAATTATAAAATACCAAAAGACAGTTTCTACATTTTTTGTATTTGCACCGCGCGGTATCTTTTATTTTTTTATACATCGTAGTACAAATCTTGATTCAATGAAAAATGCCTGAATGAGAAGAATATTTTACCCTGTTCCTTGAAAATAATAAACATTCATGACGTGTACTAAACGTAAGTTTTATTGATTAGAAATTATTTCTATATTATTTGTAGTTTCTATAAATCTCTGAAGTTATTTAAATGGAAAATATTTTTTAGGCAAGACAGATATTAAGACTGTTCAAAGAATGAGATTATATCGCGAAAAAGAAAAAAAATACAAGCAGTCAATGAATGTATGTTAATTTTAATTACATGAAGTTCTTCAAACACAATTACATGATAAGTGAAGCTGCGAAAACAATATTTGTTTAGGCGTTGTTTAACATAATCCACTGTGTGAACGAAGATTATAGAATTTATTAATCAACAATTACTTCATTTCTCTAATGAAGGTTCATTTCTAAATGCTAATTACAATGACAAACCGATCATGTCATATTTGATGAATTACGTTATTGTTTTCAAATATTATACATATTTTTAATGCTTTTATAAATATATAAATTATAATTTATCATTATATAAATCTGTATAATGGTTGACACTAATAAATGTGTGCATCGCGAGTGTTACCATATTACTAATAAACATTATTCAAAATTGTTGTATGATGCATTTATTTTTTCTTAAATGCCATCTTGTACAGTAGCAAATAATTTTACTTCAATCGCATGTGAAACTTACGCGCACTCTTTTTTATTATAATTTAAATATTCATTATTGGCACAAATTCGACTTTTTTGGTTTGTATTCAAAAATAGTATTTTGGAAACAATTACAATCACCTCGCTTAAAGGATACACCCCACAGGTTGAAAATGGCTACCATAAGGTATAATTTACCAGCGTTGAGCACGGTTAAATAATCAGTACCCATATCTCTCCCAAAAATTGAATTAAACCATGTGTGGTAATAATATCAATCATCGCTTAAAGAAAATACACTATATATTACACAGCGTAATCCGTCGAAACGCGATCTCACCATATGTTAGTTATGACTCTCTTGGGCACATATTAAGTTCTCTTATTTCGTATTTATTCTCGGTACACGGAGTCCGTTGTTCATCGTGCACGCGCCTTGCATATCATATTAGAATCATGGGCGGTTTATTCGTCTGTCTGGCTGAGGAATATGTGGGAGTATGGGTAACGTAAAGTCTTTAACAAAGGATTTTAAGTCTTGGCTTGAAATAGATTCGATTGAATTATTCATAATATTGGCTATTTGATGTTCGGTTTGTGTCTGGTATGTCTGCATTGGTGTTGAGAAAATATTTTCATGATAGATAATAGATAACAAGGTTCCTGATTGTTTCAATCTGAAATATTTTTTAGAATCCATCGACTGCCAATAAGAGATTAACTAATTAACTAGTTAGAAAACAGCCACAAATTTATATTATTACAATATACTTTACTAAATAAATCAGATACATGCTTTAATTCCACGAGTCTTTATCATTTCGTTAGATATCATCAGATTGATGCTGTCGAAATACGCTACTTAAAACTAGCTTTAATGGTATTATTAACATTTGGAGCAAAAGGAATATAACCAAAAAAATTTTCTAAGTTTATTATAAAATGTGATAATAATATATCGCAATGATAAGAAATTAGAAACTAGTATTTAGCCTTGAGGCAAGTTACATGAACTTCCCGATATGTGTAAATAATCGACTTAATAAACAAATTAATTTATGAGTGATTAGAAGTATTCCGAGTGAATTTATTACACATAATTAGAAACGAACGAACACTTTAACTCGGAGTATTTTCTAAAAGCAAATTTTCACAAATCAATAATTTTTATAATTGACGTTAATATTTTAGTTCATTAAGACCAAGTAATCTATCGTTATACCAAGTAAGTAATATAATTTTAATAACGTCAACAAAACTACTCATTTTCTCATGCTTTGATGAATTTTTAAAATTAAACTACTTGTCGTAAGGCCGTAATATTTCAGTAAGTTCTATAAGACCATTATATACATCGCCAAAGAAAGTTTCATAACAACCGGTTTAATTTTTTATTTCAACAGTTAATTTTCAACGGCTCGGTAGATTTTCACCTAAAACTAATCAGTATTATTCCCAACTAATATCTTTGGAACAGTTTTTGATTTTTTAAAATGAGTTTAAATGTGGACGAAAAGTTTAACACTCTTTTTCAAATTACAAAGAAACGGCTCGGCAGATCGTCTCACAAAACTGACAAACTATAGTGCTCATTGAGATACATCGAATGGCTTTTAAATTTCTGAAATCGGTTTAGGCGTTTTTGAGCAAACATCGATGAAAGGTCTAATTTTGACAAATGCCAAAAAACGATACCAATTTTTGCAAACTTTTACGAATTTTTAAAGCTAAACGAGTTGTCGTAGGGCGGTAATATTTTAGTATGATCTAGAAGACTATGATAGCTACCATCAAAAAAAATCATAAAAATCGTCGAATTTTTTTTTTAAAAACTTATTACAAGAAAACGGCCCGGCCGATTTTTACCAAAAACTAATCAGCATGATTCCCAACCAATATCTTTCGAACGGTTTTTGAATTTTCAGAATCGATTCAGAATTGCGGGCTAAAACGTGGACGAAAAAATTTTCATTTTTCTGCTATTTATAAAGAAACGGCTTAGACGATCGTGGCACAAAACTCAGAAACGCCAGTCCTCATCGAGATACATCGAATGGCTTTTAAATTTTTGAAATCGGTCGAACCGTTTTTGAGAAAAGGTCGATTTACGGCAAAAAATCTGTTCACATACACGCGCGCGCACACACACACACATATACTTTTTCCAAACTTGGGCTCATTCGATTCAGAATTACTTGAAACGTCGAGAAAACATAAAATCAGCGAATCGGAATTTTTTTATGAAAACATAAACTTCTCCTTCGGGAAGTTAATTAAGAAATATTAGACTCTTTTGTTTCCATTATCTGTACTCTAATATTAATGTTTTTCTCTTCTATTTCAGGTGTAACAACTCTACCAGCGACGACAGTTTCTTTCTATGAGGTTGACAATCATCTTCGTCTAAAAGTTACATCACCATCTTTCAAATGGTGACCAGCCTGGTCTCCTAATAGGCGATATGCCAGTGGTGCGCCGGAGGGAAATAAAAGACCAAAAGCAGCATGGGCGCTAATATGGGTAAAAACTCAGCTCTGTTGGACTCACTCCCAAACGGTCAATCGACGTTGCACGTCGTGATGTTGGGATTGGATAGTGCAGGAAAAACAACCGCTCTTTACCGGTTAAAATTTAACCAATATCTAAATACTGTGCCTACGATAGGTTTCAATTGCGAAAAAGTCAGAGGAACCTATGGACGAGCTAGGGGAGCTAATTTTCTAGTTTGGGATGTAGGCGGTCAAGAAAAATTAAGACCTCTGTGGAGAAGTTACACGAGGTGCACTGATGGCATAGTTTTTGTTCTGGATTCTGTTGATGGTGAGAGGATGGAAGAAGCGAAGATGGAACTTCTGAGGACTGTGAGGAGTCCTGATAACGCAAATGTACCTGTTTTAATTTTAGCCAACAAGCAAGACTTACCCGGAGCGAAAGAACCTGCCGAATTAGAGAAACTTTTAGGGTTATCGGAATTAGGGAAAGATGGGCAAGGCCATCCTTGGTTCGTTCAACCTGCATGCGCAATTACAGGCGATGGACTGCACGAAGGCTTGGAAGCTTTATATGATATGATCCAAAAACGAAGGAAGATGAATAAAGCTCATAAAAAGCGGACGGCCAGATAGAGAAAGGCTAAACCGGATGATGCATTAGAAGGAAGTAGTCAAGGTATTGGAACCTCAGAAGAAGATCTTCTGTGTGTTCATGTGAGCTATTCTTGTGATCTGTAATGTAAGGAAACTATTATATGGTGTGCTGGTGACTGTTAAAAATTTTATGAAATTCTCTGCAGTTCTGTGAACATTTCGATGTGTAATTGTGTAATATGTGATAAAAAAACAAACTAAATTTTTATATAAACTTGAACTACTTCTAAAATTTTGCTCATGATAAAACTAAGTGCGGTCCAATGTTGAGATTACATTGCATTTGTACATTTCATATAATTTATTTATTATATCGCTTAGTATAATTTATTAAAATTATTGATATGTCTTAAGATGTGATTCTTTCATATCTATATTTATGATAGAGAAAGTAGTTTTTCATGTTTTGTTATTGCAATTTTTGTTCGAATGTTATTATTTTGGATATTGTGATGTTTAACGATTGTTCGTATAAATGAAATGTTTATATAAAATTATAATCAATTAACATTTGTATATTTTTTGTGCTTTTTGAATAGCTCGCCTATTCTATGTATAAAAAACTTTTTTATACTTTTGTATACGTAGCAAAATTTAAAAAAAGTTAGATACACCTAAAATGAAAAGCTTTTGTATTAGTGCAACGAAAATAATCAGTAAACAATAAATTAAATCAATTAAATCATTTCTCAAAACAGTAACAATCGTAGATCAATAGTAACTAAGCCGTGTGATACACAATTATTGCTTTATAAGTCGATTAGATTATTTTACGATTAGCAAATTTTATAATAAATTTCGGCTTTTAATACATTTTGCACATAATTTACAAGATATATAAATAATATGTAAATTATTCATATCGTATAATAAAGTCTTAAATTCGTCCACAATTTTGGTAAATAGATTTTCAAACATCGTTGTTTATAATAATTATATAGATAGAAAAATATTATATTGCGTTATATGCGTTGACTGAATTCATAGAGTTTAAAGATTTTGTATATGAGTTTGGTAATTACATGGAAAAAGCTTTCTTTGAAATATTTCATTTATTCTTGTTAAACAAAGAAAACTTTAATTGTAGAAACCAAACATTGCCTATATTATATGCATTAGTCTAATTTGTACATTGTTTTTTATATTGTCCTATATGTTTATAAACTCAAAAGATTGATGTATATTCTATATATAAATATTGTTTTTCTTTAAGTATTGTCATAAAATTTTAATTTTAGAAAAAACTAAATCCCAAAGATGTATGTATATTCAATTTAAAGCTATTTGTTGAGTAAAAGAATATCAAAATGATTTATTGTTTTATTTTGCCCTTGGAATACCAATACAGCATACCATCATAAATATCTTACGCAACAGAATCGAACGACGTTGACCAAGGACTTGTAATTTTCAATCAAAGATTCCCTATCATTAAAACAAGTGAATTATGTTGTGTTATACAATTAAAAATCAGGAAAATAATATGTTGGCAGCCTAGTAATGAGTACTTTACAGTAGTTCTTATTTGCTTTGCTCTTGTTATCATGCCAATGCTGGACAGCACAGTTTCAACCAAGAAATTAAGGTAGCCATTTGGCCACGGGTAATAATTATCTAAAAATAGTGACAAATTATATCTATTCGGGGAATTACTAATTTATGCAAAAATATTAAAATATAATCAATCCCCATTTATTAAATTCTAATTGATTAAGTGTGCAAAGTTTTTTTTGGGAATTTGATGATAGTGTTTGTCTACCGATAATTTGATCATTTTGTGGTGGTAAAACAGGAAAATTATTTTTCATTTGTTGTACGAATTTATCATTGTTAGTTAAGTATACTGCATCTAGCATCTAGCAAAAAAATCGAAAATGAAAATTTTTATATATCTCTACGTTTCAGAGGTTTTTGAACATTTTGGTATACCTTAGAAAAATGTATGTATTTGTGCGTGTGTATGTATGTGTATGTATGTGTGTGTTTGTGTGCGCGAATACAAATATTCGTCGACTATTTCGGATCAACCAATTTGAATAATTAAAAAAAACATTCGATTCCTACTGATAAGGAGATGTGCTGATTAGTTTTTCGCAAAGGCAGGTCTAGCCGTTTTGAAGATACGAGGCAAAAAGTGCAAAAAATGGTTTCAAAATTCAAAAGCATTTTACTTGTATTAACAAGATGCAGAACTGGTAAAATTTTTGTGGAGGCAGGTCCAGCGTCTCCAGGAGATCCAACAAAAAAGCAAAAAATAATGCCATTTGGCGGTCAATAATGAACATTAGGCAAATGTACATTGTATTATCAGATATTTTATAAAGATTAAAATAACAAGTAAAAATTTTGTGTACATTTATATGGGTTCCGTACCAACGTTTACACGTTAGACGACTACGCGACGCTTACACGCTTTGACATTTCGTCTCTATGCAGTTAAAGCAGTACGATTGCTTTGAAAAAAAAGTTCAGAATTTCCAAACTATGCTAAAATAAAGAAAAATTTTTTTTTTCAAAAAAAAAGTAATTTTTGTCGAATTTATAGTTTCTCAAAAATCTAATTTTTTCGAAGTAAAATTTTTTCAAAAATGTTAATCGCTTTTAAAAAAATAATCATTTTTGGTACGGGAAGTTCCAGCAATTTGCCTTAAGGCACGATGCCATGCACCACTAGTTTCAATTATATTTTACTGTTACGAATATAGGTCAAATGCAAAGTGGTATGATTCCAACAATAGACAGTTGTTTCAGGTGTTATGAAAGATGGTTCGAATGGGATCTCGAGCATGTGTATTTCGTGCTAATGCGCTGAATTAATTAAGATGTGATCTAGGCGTATTGCGCGAGGGCACAATGGTACATTAGCCTACTCTGATCCATATTAACATTTACCACTGCATATGCTTTTAAATATTAAATGTAATATGCTAATATTGTTTATAACATTTAAACTTGAGCCATTATTATAAACAAAAGCAAATAATTATAATCATGCTGCCTATATTTATTTTCATTGGCGGCCAAAGATTTCTTATTTATTTATGAAATGCTTCGGCATCGCAAATAGTATTTACTAGGCTATCAACAAATTTTAATCCTAGAATGGTATCAGCTCGCTTCCGAGTACGGAAATTTTGAAAAAATAAAAAGACTATTTGTTACTAAACTAGTAACAATTCTGAAATAACATTTGATGATATCACAAAGTATACAAAGGCAAAAGATGAAAGACAAATCACTTGTTAAGCACGATACCATTCTAGGGTTACGGATAATTTTTAAGAACAAATAGAACGGAATAATAGCAGTTGTACCGTAATATTATCACTTCAATAACAGAAATCGTCATTGAAAAAGATCATATTTGAAAACCCATTTGTATCCATTATGGGTTTATCCAATTTCAAGTTATATACATATGCGAGATTTGGCTGGTAAGTATTAGGCTGATTCTTTCTTCAATTTTTTGGCATTAAATGGAAAGAGCAATGTTAATATTAGAGACAGTGAAAGCAGCAGGTATAATTTTGATGAAATTTAACGAAATATAATAAAAAATTACTTAATTTCCTAGCATTTTCAGAAAAAAATTAAAATTTACCACATTATGTAAAAACAAAACAGCTAATGAATGAATAGCTGAATGATATTTTTCTTCAAAAACAGAAATTTCAAAGATGAGTATTCCAACGAAAATTCATAGATTTTCACTCTTGCAGTATTATATATCAAAAACTTCCAGTTTTTAGAAAATTGGCTATAATTGACAAATATCCAATCACAATATTCGTCGATGATTTCTATTTATATATACATTTTTGGAGATATAATTTAATAATTTCTCGAATTGTTTTTTTCCCTATACTTTGTGACGAACAATTCCAACAAAAATTCATAGATTTTCACTCCTGCAGTATTATATACTGAAAACTTCCAGTTTTTAGAAAATTGGCTCTAATTGACAAATAACCAATCACAATATTCATCAATGATTTCTATTTATATATACATTTTTGGAGATATAATTTAATAATTTCTTGAATTGTGGTCTCTTTTTCTATCCTTTGTGACAAACAATGAAGATTATGGCATTTCTTTTATATTTCCATAAATTTATGTTTTTCATAAACACATTACCGCTCACAAAGTGATTAAAGTTATAACTAATCAATACTATCAGCAGTGTTAATGAGGGATAATTAATAAAGGATTTCCAGTGAGACTCTCCGACACAAATTTTTTGTTCCATCTCTCAATTTAACATTTTTGGACTTTATATAATTAATAATATGTAAGATATTTTTATTAGGGTAAGTTATATTAATCGCAAAAAATCGAAAATGAAATTTTTTATTTTTCTTTACGTTTGAAAGGTTTCTGAACATTTTGGCTTACCTTAGAAAATCGGATACATGTGTGTGTGCGGATACAAATTTTCATCGACGATTTCGTGAACAGTGATGAACCGATTTGAATCATTGAAAAAACATTTTGTTCGAATTGAGGAGAAGGAGGCGTGCTGATTAGTTTTTGGCTGAGGTAGCGCGATTACTTTGAGAAAAAAGTTCAAAATTGTCAAACGTTTACAAAATATAAAAATCAAACTCAAAATTTTCAAAAAAATCTATTTCTGTTAAAAATTTCAAAATTCTCAGAAACCTAATTTATTCAACGTTTTCAAAATAAAGCGATCTGAAGAATATCTAAAATAGAACATATCAACATCCGAAAGGGTAATGAAAATTAAAATCTTTTTTGTATTTATTGAAGTTCTTATTCAACAGCGCAATAAAAATATAAATTTATTTTTCTATATCTAGCATTCATTTTACAATAAGGAAATATAAAAATCCTTTTCAAATGATTTGTTATCACGAAACAAAGATTGCAAAATCACCCATGTGTCAAAATTACATTGCATTACAACATTTCCTGCAATAGCTCCTAAACATCGTGTCTTGCATCTTGTCAGTACCGTGATAAAAATCATATAACAACAGCTTTCAGTGTCAGTCTTACACAATTATTGTGCCGAAGACTGTGAGAAAACGGTGTTGCTGATACATCTTCAACAACAACTACTCATAATTCTAATTACAGATTTTCACATTATTATCCGGAATTATATCACTGAATGACGCTGAACGCGACGATTGCGATTGTGGGAAGTAGTGTGCCGTTAAAATTTTACGATTGCGCCAAGAACGTATGAACACGAAATTGGCGTGTTGGATTAGCAAAGTAGCGGCTTACG